TAAGTCGTCGTCCAAATGAACGCGACTTATCAACTTCTCATTTCTAACAACATTTTCACTCGTTTAACAGGCATATTAAGCTCATCAACTAATGCAGACGTACGAGAGTATCCAATCCCAATCATCGTTAAGCCTAAATGGCCAAGACTAACGGGTTATGACTGGTGGTTTCGTAACCTGAATTTCACGCTTGCAGACTTACAGTTCATCATTTCAACCGGACTTAACGCAATCTCGATCATGTTTTTTTCCGGGGCTGGCGCAAAGCTTTTTCAGTTATGGCCGATTTTGCGATTTAACTAAACATTGCTATATCAATCTTTGTAAAAAAATTTCTTATTAATAGTATGTATATAATGAGCAGGAAAGAGTCGGTCTAAGTCTTAACATGAAACTTTTGGAAGAATGAATCCCAGTTCTGATGTCCGTCATATGACAAACGAAAGCTCGGCCCGTTTTCGCCTGAAACGAGGGTGGAAGCCTCGTGGATTGTATCAACCTGAACGTCGTATTAAAGCCAACCAACTGCAGTACAACGCTAATCAGCCATTATCTTCCCTTCAGATCTACCTAACCTTGCCTTAATACAACAAAGTTGTCTTAGGAGATTCACCAAAACCCGCTGCCATTTGTATGACGAGAATTCTCCCACAATGCTATGAGTAGAGTTGACGTTTCCATTGCATTTCACATAGCCTTGCTTTCCCAAAAGTTCTCATTTAGGTAAAGCAAGGCTATGTGAAATTGAATGGAAATGTCAGCTCTACTCATAGCATTGTGGGAAAATTCTTCTTCCAGTCCTTCATCACCTTAACCGAAATTGGGTGAATACATCTCATATTACTGATATACTGATAGTCGCGAAACAATACTTAAATGCGAAAAATAAAGAATTTCTTGATTAATAATCAAATTTTGCCGCTGTTTCGCTTACAATAAAATTCAGAAACTGCATAGTTCAGGCGTTAGTGGCACCAGATGAACAGTCGAAACCACAATTCATATATCGTTTCGTAATTGTCGTGTATCCCTTAAAATAGTTTTATGCAAATTTAACTGCAGATTGAATCTCTCCAGGCTCCCCTCAGCATCTCCGACGTATTCAGATATCAAAAGACTCCTTTGAGAGCGCTTCTATATTTTTCACAGATTAAGCATGGCATTCTTCTGTTATTTTGCTTTATATTTTACCTCTGTTTGGTGTTGAGCCATGTCCATCTCATTCTATTTGCCGTCTTAATAGCCTGACGACATTCAATCTGAATCTGAATCTATTTTCGCTTTACTCAAAATGTTTTCTCGATCTTACATTTCTTTGAACCTCTGTCCC